TGATTGAAGAAGCTATGCAGCAATACTTGGTATTGAAAAGGAGTTAAGGCTTGACTAATAAATCCACAGTGGGCATGGGAAGCCCAAGTTTCAATTCAATTTTAGAAGTTTTGTAGTAATATTTGGATCTGAAATGCTTTGGATAATAAGTAAGTAAGTGTATGGAAGGAGGAATACCAAACAGCGCTTGTTTGCTTTTCACTGGAAGTGTGGTAATCCTCTTGATTTTCCCAGAGAAATCAAATGCTCTTCATTTACTGTGTTTCTTTCCTCAGCTACAGCTAAGAATTCTTCTAGGTGGTACTGATTAGTGTATGCTGACTAACTGTATTTCATGGTTTCACCAGCTTCCTTTTCCTCTAAGAGATAGATGCATGTCTCTAAATTATCTGACCATACAGACACTGGTGTTCCAAATATGATGGATAAAATATAAATAATGACCATTTGAATTGTTGTTGCTAAGCTGTCAACTGCAGAAAAGTAGTAGTAGTAATGGTGGGTGACTTTGCTCTGTCTATAGGCATGTGGTGCCTTTGTTACCATATTTCCCTTACAGTTTTAATAGTGTGGAGGCTTAATGCAAACTTTCTGCATGAAGGTTGTCTCCTCTTCTTTATTTTGGTTCCCATTTGCAAAGCTGTACCTTCTCTGTTTGCCATTTGATAAGTAGAATAGAAGGCATCATTAATTAGACAGGCACTCCTTTAATTTCATTGTTTGTGACCAATTTCAGATCCAGTTACAGACCCAGTAAGAGGTGATGCATTTTTACTGAATTGCACCTTGTCCTTGTACTGAGGAGTTACCAGGGTGAAATGGCTGTCCTGCAAAGGTCAGCACAGAGAGAAATAGAGCACACAGTTATGGGTTATGTCTCAATTCTCCATAGTGGCAACTCAAAACCTAAATAAAATTGTAATTAACTGCAGTTAACTGAAAAATTGCCTTTGTAAAATGAAGCTGTTTAATTAAAAGCTTCAACTTTTGATCATATATTCCTAGATCACATTTTTTCTGTTATTTTATCAGACCTATTTATTCTTGAAATTAGAAGAATTATATTTCTTTTGCTTCCTTCTCAGCAAGCAAATTTACCTAGGCAATAATTCATATTGCAGTTTACTCAATAAACAAAGTACATTTTGAGAAACACTGCCTTTTAAGAATTGCATCTGATCCAATAAACCAAATTATATAATAATAAAGTATGTCACTGATGTAAACAAATACCAGATGGGTTGTAAAAGATCAGTGGAAATAGACTGAGATAAACACTGCTGTGGTGTATTGTCAGTCACTAGTAAAGCTCAAAAAGGGATTCCCACTGCGTGCCTGAATCCTGGAGGGTTCCACCTTCATGTTTGTTTTTCTCTTGCTTTAAGTCTCGCTCTCTTTAGAGAGATTAGGTTTTTAGATTAGATTAGATTAGATTTTGATTTGATTTTTTTTCCTCACTTGCTCCCCATTATTGCACTTTGAGATCCAGTGTTTGGCTGCTTTTCAAAGTGTAACAATGCAAGCCAGCAAGGTTTTGCTGATGAAAATCAGAAAGTGTTCCTGGGGAAGGAGTGTGGGCCTGTTGAGGCATGGGCACTGCAGAGGATGGGACATTGCTTTCTGTGTTTTGGGATGTGGGAGTGGGCTCATCTCTCCTGTTATTTTCCCACCCTGAAGGGAAGGATGTTGTTACCTGTACCAGGCCCAGCTTCCTCCAGCATGGATGTACGTGGTGACAGTTGGATTTTTTTCCTCTTCAGATATGAATGCTTTCACAACAAGGCTCTTTCCGTTGTGGTCAGTTTGAGATAAGTTTAAGTGTGTTTCCAGTATTGATTGAATTATTAGGCTTTTTCCACACAGTTAAAATCCTAAGGATGTTGTTCTGCATTTAAGATATCTGCTAACCCTTCTGTAATAAAGTTTTCTAATTGTGTGTTTATTGACATTTTATCTTGTCTTTAGATACATGGTCTAGTGGTGGACTTGACAGTGTGAGGCTTGTGGTTGGACTCAATGATCTTAAAGGTCATTTTCAACCTAAACAATTCTGTGATCTGATTATGTGTTGTATTCTACACTAAGTCAAATTTATAATAATATTACAATTTAAATTAGCATATCTCATTTAGCGTTCCATCAGAAGGGGTATTTAAGTATTGTATTTGCAGGATATCCACATTTTTGTGGCTTTACCTGGTTTTCTATGTATGCCACCTAGATCTCCATTTTCTTTGTTCATGTGGTGAATCTGAGATTTCTTAGTTCATGCAAACATCTTTACACCTTTAAAATCCTGCTTAATACTTGACCCAAAGTGGCAGAAGATATAAGGGCAGATATTTTGAAAAAACTTGACTTTCAGGTGGCTCTGTATACTCCAGATGGAGTCTTAATAAAATCTGAACATGAGAGTGTATTATTCCTAAAATCCAAAATAAATGTTCCTGTAACACTTTTCAAAAGGTTTGTTCAAAATACTTCAAACAGTTTAGAAAAAATAGTGAAGTAACACAATACAGGCACATTTTCAGTAGTTAATCTACAAATACCATGTCTGAATTATGAGCAATGATGGCTCACTCTTTATTATTAGCCAACTATAAAAATGCAGGTTGGATCATAGAAACAGAAATGTTTTGTCTCCTTCAGAACGTAGAGATGGATTTTATTGGTAGAGAGGAGATGCAGTCAGGATGGTTTAGCTAAGAAACGTTTGTTGTTTCCTCATGATTACTAAGCTTTTATTTGTGGATCTATCAGCCTATGTGACATCACCGGGGTGCCAAATTTGAGTCATCTTAGGAGCCATATAAAGAACAGATTGCGCCCCTTTTAGCTGCTTGTTCAGGTAGAATTTACTTGTGTAAATACTGAAATGGGGTAGGGTGAATGTAGTCACTCTTTAGGTGTTATATGTATTAAAAAGTATATTTAGTTTATATAGATGAGCTTCTGGCAGCAGACTTCTATTTTCCTTGTTTTTCTTTTAGAGGTAATAGAAAAGAGCCACTTCAGATCTGGAGACCTCTCCATTTTCTCTGTGAGGCTTCTGAGTCTGACATAGCTTCTTTGTCAACACCTAATGAACACAGAGTCTTTTAAGCATATATCTTAAATTTTTAAGTGTATTTACTGAAATATTATAAAAATCTTTGCAGAAAGTATGAAGTCTAGTTAGTTTCTTCATATTTAATGCAGTAAAATCAAACCTCTACATATAGACACTGTACACACATATACCAGAGGCATGTAGATTTGCCTAATCTCGATTGCATCCAAAAGTTTTCTTTCTAGAAGCACATGCCTTCCAGCTGTGGGTATGAATTAGAATTGTGTTGCAGAGAACCAATACCTTATTTACAGGAAGTATGTTTTCTTGATTTCTTCTTCTGGGAATTAATTTAAATAAGAAAAACACCTGTCATCTTGTGTGACAGCTGATGACAGCTTTAAGATCACTGAGTGACTAAGATGACAAGCTTTCCATACACATCAACACATCAGGCTTTTATTGCTGTCTTGGGTATGCAAGAAACTTGTATTAAGTGGTCTTTAACAAGGACTCATCCTGTTTGTCAGTTCTGTGACATGATTTTTATGAAGGAAGGGGTAAAGGCCCACGTCAGCTGAAGATGAGGAGACTGCAGTAGGTATTGCCTGTCTGTGTTCCGTGAAGCTTGTCTGCAGAGAAGATGGAAAGATGGAAACAGATCAAAGGGCATGTTTTTACATCACAATTCCTGATGAGGATTAGGCAAGTTTATAGGAAAAATAAAACATTGCTAGTCAGAAACTGATTGTTCAGACTTAGGAAAAAATTTTCTCGTGAAGAAACTCAGCTTTTATTTTTTTCCCCTTAGATAAGATGAATTATTGTAGTTTTATTACTGTCATGTTTAACTACTGTAAATTTACAACCATGCTCTATTGAATGGGGAAATTACTAAAAGCGCTGTGGAAGCTTCTCTTGAGTCTGAAACTTGCCTTTCATGTATTCAAAAGTTTGGGGAAATGCACAACTTTGCTTCAGTAAAGAAACATTACATTCTCTAATAGTCTTCAATATCTCCTTCAGAAAAGATCCATCCTCAATTCTTCATTAACTGGTAAAGTAAATGGAAATGGAATGTTGTGTTGTCTTTTTTTAGCATTTTATCAGGAAAATCGTGGCAAAATGTGCCCTGCACTATATTTTTCCTAATATTTTTCCAGGTCAAGTAAACAGTAAACAGCCCTATTCCAGCTTCTGTATAGAACTACAAATTCTCCTATGGCACATTCATGTGTTAAGACTGGAGAAAATTAAAAATCCCTACATTTTCTCAGCATTTTACCTGGGATTTAGGGTCTTCCTAAACAAACTTTAAATGCTAAAAGATTAGAAATCTTTCAAACAGTATAATTAGATTCCAGCCTCAAATCTAGATTTGTATTTTTCACTTATGTGCTCAGGTGACGGACAGGCTGATCTTTAGAAAAAAAAAATGGATACAAGCCTGAGTTTATCACTGGAAAAACAGCCACAGAAATATTACTCTGTGATTTTTCTCATGCCTCCATGGAGAACCTTGGGCAGAAGCTGCAAATGCAGTTTTTTGCTACGCCTTATTTCATATATGAATCTTGGCCATATGCTCTGAGTGGGTTTGAAATCACTTAGATTTGATTTTTTGTTTATGTTTATTATTATGCAGTAATCCATAGCACTGAAAACATGTTCTTAAGAAAATAGTGCAGTAGGTAATTAGTGGGAGAAATATTTCAAAACAGTATTTTTAATATGTTGCTTAATCTATATGGTGACTAGCATATTTGTTTGATTTTTAATGCATTCTCATTCTTTACCCATATTTGCCTCATCATTTCTTGTTGCCAATAGTTGGTCAATGTTACTAGTTTAAATTTAAGGAAATTTGATGGGATTTTGGATGTTACATATTTTTATCTATTTTTTTGTTTTATTAATATAAAGATTTCCTTTTTTTTTTCTCATCTAGAAAGGTCCTAAAGGAAATCTCTGTTGGAAACCTAAAGCCTAATGAAACAGTTGAAGCAAATCTGGAAGCACAACTACTCTCCAAATTAGACCATCCAGCCATTGTCAAATTTTATGCAAGCTTTGTGGAGCGAGATAGTTTCTGCATTATCACTGAGTATTGTGAGGTGAGACTGAAGAAATTTGAAAGCATGTGTGTATTAAAATAGGATCTTCTAAGATGCCATTTTATAAAATGTTTTAGTTTGAATTTTAGTCTTTATTTGTTGCTTATGACGTCATCTGCCACTTGTTAGGTGTGTTCCTTTCAGATAAGGAATGCTACCTGCTCATATGAGACTCATAGACAAATAAAGCACAAAAGAAGAAATAGGTAATTTTAAGTGCAAGTTCTTTTGGTCTTACAGGGCTACATGAAAGGCTTAAATGCAGACACACTGCCAGATCTGTGGAGAACTCAGAAGGGTTGTACCACTTGTGTGTGATCGATGAGAGGGAAGGAAATTGTGGGCGTGGGGGCATGAAATAAAATCTGGTACAAATGAGGAAGAGAAAATTCACTTGTAGTTTGGAGGTGATTATGAGAAGCTTAAGCTTGATCACATGCATGATGAGTTTGGCAGCAACATTGGTTTTATAAAATGAAAAACAGTGGGAGTCAAAGACCAGAGTGTAGTGGATACAACAAATATTAAAGCAGGATTTTCTATAGTATAGTTACCATTAATTTTTTGACTGCAGCATTTGGTTTAAGAACATTTTGCTGGGATCTGTCTTAAAGCTTTCAAATAAGAACTTAAGCATATTTAAGCCAGTTTTTTAGTAGCTTATATAAAACAAGCTCCTACTTTGTATTAAATATAAATGTGCTCTTTAAAAAAAAATCTGTCATACATAAAGTGATCTTTTTTATGAAACTGTGAAGCAATCTCTTCAGCTGTGCTTTGCTAGACATGCTGAAAAGCTTTGGAAGATAATGAACTTAGACTGCTGGGTTACCTGCACACAAATCAGATTTGACTTAACTAATCACAATTCTTCAAGAATTTAGCTTTCATGGGAATAATTAAACAAGTACCATTCCTGTCATTTATTTCTTCCTTGGAAGCTTTCTTTAATAATAGTCGAATGCATATTTATTGCTGGGATATTTAAAAATTAAATCTGAAATGTTCAGTTCTGTGATACAATCTGAGTATTTGTTAACATACTATTTTAACACACGCAGAAGCTTTTTCTGCCATTCCTTGAATGCCTGACAGCTGGGATTTGAGAATATTGTCAGCTCTTTGAGGAAATCCAGAGCTCAGGACTGAAGGATTATTCTAACTCTTCAGCTATTCCCATCCACTCATAATTTTCTCTCTACTAGCAGTACAAAGTGACCCAATACCAGATCAGTTAAACATGTAGGAATGAATAAAGGAACCTATTTCAGCAGCACTATAGTGTCTTTTCTCTATCCCTGCTTTTTACTTTTTACTCTTTTTTTTTTCCCTCCATTTGGCATAAAGTTGTAGGTGAATAAGAAAGAGCATGATATGTACAGTAATCACAAGCATCACTCCTTGGAGCTTTGAGTTTTTTTTATGCAGGCAATATAAACTACCTAGCATGAAAATGTTTTGGTACAGGGTTACCCGAGGATCTGGGAGTCATATCCTCAAACAGGTGAGAATGTATTACAGCAAGGCAGGTAAAGGAAGACAAAATGGATTCGTTGGCTATGCACTGAGTCTTTTCAGTTTTGAGTCTGCTAGGTGAGGTCAGGATGACACCTGGCCCAATAGGATGTGCTTCTAACTTTCCCCAAAGGACAGGTTCTGTGGTATCATTGCATTTATGCCTTTACAATATATTTCATCGAATGCTCAGTACACAGCACAGTTGCACACAGTGCTAGAAAGTTTCTTTTCTATTTTATTTGGAGTATTTCCAGAAGGTATACTTTTGTATTTACTTATCTATAACCTGCCTTTGTATGTGGTGGGATTTGGGTGTTTTGACCTGAAAGATTTAAACAGGCGTTTAAACCATCCATAAATTGAGAATGAGAAAAATGTAGTGCTACCCGATCCTTGCTTGGAAGTCTAGTACGTTCAGTTTCTCATGCATAGAATAATTACCAGATTGGCAGTAATTGCTACTCTTGGGCAGGCTCAAAACAAAGAGCACACATTAAGTTGGCATGGAAACAGAACTACCCCCCTGAGCTCTACTCTGTTTTCTCCAAAGGACTGTGACTTATTCATTAGCCACGGTGCTTTGTTCATTCTGGCGTGAGTAGCATGGAGGGAGCCTCCAGTGCAGCTGCCCCGTGCTGTACCTTGTCCTGTGAAAGAAAACCAGTGATGTTGGTCTCCATGGCTCAGCTTGACATCCTTTATTATAACTCAATTCAATCAAAATTATAGAAAAGTATATTTGTTCTGTTTTGATCTTATTTGTTGAGCTTCTTAGATACTTTCCCCAAATCAGAATCTTATGGGTAATATAAACATTATCAGCTAAGACTGATTTCAAACAAAAATGCCTTAATGAACCTTGGATTTAATTTTGTAGAACAAATTTGACTTCAGTAATATACAGTTTTCACAAAGCACTGTACTTTTAAAGTAAAAGTGCTTTTTAAAATTGCATCATTTTAATGTATTATAAGGCAGAACTCCTTGTACTTTTCCCCCAGACAATTATTTATGTCTCTTGACTGTGGTCTCAGCTGTGATGTGAGTACACATATGCTAAGGAAATCTGAGCAAAAGGAATAACTAAAGCAGTCAATGCCTGTTCACGTTATCAGCTCTAGATGCTAAGCTGTTTTAGCTAATTTACTGTTGTGTTTGATACTCTGATATTTAAATAGAAACTGCAGCTTGGAAACTCCGTATGTACTTAATTTGTTAAATTGTTGAATTCCTTATGAACTTTGTTAGATAGACCTTCCAAAATGCAAAATTGGGTTAACAAATTTTTTCAGAGTTTCACAGCAAGAATACTTCAGCAAATCTTATATGATGTGTTTTTGTTTTGCCTCTTCTAGACAAAAAATCAAGGGTAAATGAATTTTAGGACATTGAGGCCATTCTTCTCTGCTTGAAGATAAAAAGCTATGCAGTTATGTGAAGGCACATGGTAGTGCATTATTCAACTGCTTTTGTTCTCCTTGGACCTTTTGCAGGAATTGTCCCTCAACTTCAGAGTATTCACTCTGTAGGTGCTGCACTTATTTTTCTTTGTGTTTTTCATGGCAACGTGTTATTGTGAGAGGGGACACATTGGGACAGGGAGAAAAGATGATTGGAGCCTGCTGCACTTCATCTGTCCTCACCTGGATAGTACACAGTCCCCTGAGGCCAGCAGCCAGCTGACACATGTTTGAGCACTCCCTCGGTCCTGGGCTCTGGATGGGTTGGGGCTTCTGCCTGGAACAGTTTATTTTATAATAATGACTCATTGTTTTCGAGGTGCATGAGTAGCCTCAGTCACAGCCCATCTGGCTGCCATGCAATGGAGTACCCAGCAAGAATTTTTCTTTCCTTCCTCTTCTCTGCTGCAAGCAACCAGGGGGAAGCTGCTGAACATTTGGAGTTGCAAAGGGGAAGCAGCTGCTGAGAGTCCCAAGTTCCCAGAAGAGTTTCTCTCTGGGCTGTAGTAGGGTGGCAGATGGAGAGCTGAACCCATATTCCCTTTCCTAGAGCATGAGATGATTCAGACATTTCAATTAAAAAAATTGCAGGACATTGTCAGGGAACACATTTTTGATAGATGACAAAACAGATTTGCTTTGTTTTAACACACTCACTTTGGAATGTTGTAACTTAAAACCAGAAATCCACAGAAATTACTGTAAACTCATGTCAGAAGCACATGAATATATAGATCTGCAAGGACAGAATCTGCTTATTTTGTAGCAGCACTATGAAGCACTGCGGTGTTGGGAACAGAAAAACAATGCTGAAGACATCATAAAATGGTGAGAGTCAACAGTGTAGAGGAATACAGGGATGATAATGGAAAATGATGGTACTGGTACAGTTGTACAGGCAAAATAATTTATTGTATATGGCACATAAAGCTTCTGATTTTATGTAGAATATATAATGTAAAAATAATGATTTATGACTAATAAGCTGTCCTGATGTAAGGTAATTAGTCACTAGAATGTAATCAGAGTCACAGTCCCTTTGGTCTGGGGTTAGCTACCTCAACACATTGTTTGCCATTAATGTGTGTGCATTCTTATAGATGAAGTTAATTTATTTTATAAACTGGACAAACAATCAGCTGACAACCACTTGTATTTTTTTGAGCAAAAAGAATGGGCTTCCTGGAAGTCTCAAAATCCTCTTTCATTGTCTTGTTGTGCAATTGGTATTTCCAAGTATCTGGATTACAGTTTTCAAGTAGTCCTTTTCTGGATATATTTTCTGGTTTATTGGCACTCCCTGCTGTGTGTCCTATTGTTCCATTCCTAATACTACTTCAAGATCAATTGTTGTTTTAATGAAATATCACAATAACACATGCTATGTGTTCTTGAGGCTTTAAATCTGCTTTTTTCTGGCAAAAGTTTGAAAGAGGGCAAAGTATCATAATTAAAGAGACTGTATTTTAATTCTTAAGAGAACAACATGGTTAGTTGATGCTGACATGATTATTATAGCATAATAAATGAGTGTCACTTGAGTGTGTAATGTTTGACTGGAGTGGAAATACTTTTCTCAAATTTGTTAACTTATTCAGACTAGTCAGGGCAGATTAATTTAACCTACCTGAGCGTCTATGTCATAGCCAGTCAATGTAGGCCCTCATCATAAATCTTTGCAGAGATACAGTGCTCCTACAACATGATCCATCCCTTTCAAAGGTAGACAACCAGATGACAGAGATAATTACACTAAACAGGTGTGTTTTCCTTTGTGTTGCCTGTAAAGGTATGGGGTCACCTGCTCAAGTTGGGTGATGTGAAGGAAGAATAGTTGGAAACTTTGGTGATCTTGTGTAACATTATGAGAAAATTACAAAGCCAGACTGGTTGATACCATTTTGATCCTCACTTGTGTATGCTTTTGGTGCTGGGAGATTTCAGAATTCACATGCATGTGTTGATTTTAGAGACCTACATGAGAGGAAGCATGAAGGCCTAAGGAAGTAGAGTCCTGTACTATGATGGAGATAGCATTTTGAAAACTTACCTTAAATGTACAAATATATTGTGATATTTTTCAGGGTGGAGATCTAGACTGTAAAATTCAAGAGTACAGAGATTCTGGGAAGATGTTCACTCAAAGTCAAGTAATAGACTGGTTTATACAGTTGTTACTTGGAGTCAACTATATGCATGAAAGGTACAGTCATTTGATCTGAGAGCATTTAGCTTGGGAGGGGAGTGACTGGACTTACTGACTAGTTGGAAGTATTCAAACAGAAATGAAAGTTCTGTTCACCAAACATTGTTAATTTATGTCAGATACCTCAAGTGTCATTAATTATCTACCCTGCAGGATCATTGTGCATTACCTCTTTTAGCAGGACAATGGTAAAATGTCTTCCAGCATTTAGACACACTTCTTTTCAGAGCCAAATGGAAAATGAAGCACAGTAGAAATAGTTCAATATTCTTAGAAGAAAATGGATTAAAGGTTGAAACAAAGTCATCTTTTTAAAGGGGAGTCAAGAAGCGTGTCCTGCATGTATTTAATGTGAAGCATCCAATAGATAGAAGCTTGATGGACTGCCAGTAAAATCAGTGGAGTTACATACATGCATTCTTTGAGATGTCACTTTTAACAGCACATCAAAGATGAACTTCAGAAACTACTGCAGGTCATCCAGATATGAGCAGATCACACATGGTTGGAGCAGGGGTAGTGTATATAGTTGAATATCCACCTGGTCATCTCCACGAGTTTAGCTCTTGCCTGCAGTGTGATTTAGGCTGGCTGACTGCAGTGATGGAAAGATTTCCCTTATTGCCAGTGTTCTGGACATGTGCAATTCCTGTCTGGTCCCTTTCTGCATCATCTTTTGCAAAGATTGGGAAAAATTTTCTTGCCTGAATTTTAGGTGCAACCAAGCAGTAGGTAGAGAGGTCACCTGTAGTCAAGAGCAACCGTTCCTGAGTTGAGCTGAAGTTAAGTGTGTGGGAGGTGTTTGACCTAAACTGATGGATGCCTAATGAGTTTTTGCCTGTGTCAGACTGTAGAGGGAAAAGGGCAGAGTGAATTGCTGTCCAATATGCAGGAGCATTTTTGTTCCTAAATGCCAATTTATCTAGGCCTTGTACATGAAATGCTGCCATGTCAGTGATGGGAGGACACAAAAAGAACTTTCTTGGGATGCTGTGCTCTTCAGCATTCACCTCAGGCCAAAAGGACAGAGAGAAATGGACACAAAAATCCTGACTGTTTACTAAACTAGCAGTGTGATTTAGTTTCTTTTCTCCTTTGAACTTCAATTTATCAAATTTCATTAAAATTTTGGTCCACTTTTGGCAAAATCCTTGCTTTAACTTACATGTTTAGAAGATGCATTGTGCAGAATAATTAAAACTTGACAGTTTTAATATATATATATATATTTGTATTTTGTCTTATTTGGCTGTATGTATATAACATTTTCCTTATTAGTATAGAGTCAAACAGTAGCTTAAATGGAAAAGCTTGGGCTTAAAAGAATTTAAAACTACCTACAGAAATTTGAAATACTAAAACATAATAACAGCCTTCTGTTTCTGTGTAGAAGAGTCATGCATGATTTCTTCTCTACTGACATGGATAAAACTCTAATATATGTGTGAATTATGTTCTAACGCAAAAAAAAGCTTTTCCCTTGAATTAGAGGCTTAAAGTGTTTACAGCCTGTGGGTTGGAAGGGTCCTTCCCCATGCCATTCCTAAAAAATCTCAGATTTTGTGGATGTGAGGTTTAGAGTTTTTTTCCATAGCAGCAAAAATTATTATTTGTGGTTTTAAACATACACTATTCACTTATCCTTCTTTCACAAATTTAGTTCCATACTTTTTGAAGACTCTTATACTAGAAACTTAAAGAATTTTTTTAAAAATTTGAAACTGGAAAACAAAGTTATCTAGAAATAAACAGATCTAATCCTTATCTGTCTTTGATATAAAGAAAGGGAGAAGTAAAGAGAGATAACACAGCTCAGTGGTCTTATCTCGATGGAGACCTTTTAGCATGAAACCATCCTGTAGTGTCTGTACACATAGCCCATTGCATGTTAGTGCCCAAAATGAATCCCACAGCAATCAGGCAATGAGGCCATTGATTGATTTAACCTCAATTTGAATAAGGCTGACCATTGTGTTACCCATCATTTTGGTAACCTTTATGAAAAATTTACGAACATAGATTTTTATACGGTTACTCTTTATGCAAACAGGAGATAATACAGGGTTCAGACTTACACAGAGCCTCTTACTCTTCTGCAGACCTCTTCAGACAGAGGAAGAGAAATTAATTGTGCATGAGTTCACAGCAGTGATGTACTTCAGCTTCCCTCAGCTTCACTTGCAGCTCATTCTGTTGCAGGCGAAGTTTCATTCAAGGAGGCTGCCCACTGCTCAGGACTTGCCCTGTTCTTTTGTAACTCTGAGCCAGCAAGCAGGAACTCTACAGAACATAGGGATGGGTATATTTACAGCCCAGATTTAGAACTCTCCTCAAGTGTTAAATGGTACCCAAAATAACTACTCAATAACCACTTCACTGTCCATCAAGTAAAGTTTTGCTGGAGCCCAGTTAATTCATGTTGCCTTTATAGGCCTGTCTTTTCCTACAATAAAAACGTTGCTCTCTTTCTTTTAACTGGATTTACAGTGCAGGCTTGATATTAATTTCTTTCTAGTATTAAAGAATTCTTTTGAGGTAAGATTTCAGCTGGTACCTTATTTATCTTCAGACATATCATAGCAGAATAAGTTGCATTGAAGTGAGAGATATCATCATGGAAAGCTGAAAAAAATCATACCAAATATTTCTTTGTCATATAAATATATGGAAGCATCTTGTAATTTTTGGTAACGCAAATGAAATACATAACATTTTCATCAATATGTTGCAAGATTAGAGTAGCATTACATTATAATTCAAACTAATGTGACTCAAACATCTTTTTTCATCTCCTTTTCAAATAATATGCTACTGAAAGCTTTCTGGATCATTCTTTTACTTCAATATACCTGTTATTAAAATAATGTATATTCAGGAAAGTTTCAGTTTCAAAAAGGCTATGGTTATATTTCTACAAAGAAATACTATTAAAAGAAGGTTGAAATCCACCAATTCTCAGCAACAATGTGCAGTAATAATTTAACTCAGTGAAAGCAAATTCTTTTAAAGGCTTTGTGTGATGAATGGTAAGGAAAGTCCTTATGAATCTCAATTAACACAGCAAGATTTCTGTAAAAGTGTGTGTGTATGTATATATACAGACACATATACACATACTTATGAAAGATTAATAAATATCGCCTTAGTTTGATTTCCTTAGTGATGTATTGTATGAGTCTATGTGTATTGTTCACAGAAGTTGTCAAATAGAGAACAAATTATTTATAAACAATATTTTATAAATATGGGTTGAGGAATATTGAATAAAAATTTCATTTTTCCCAATGTGCAAACCTTTTTCTAATGAAAGGTAGTACTTGCAGGACAAAAAAAGGGAAAGAAAAAGAAGTGAAGAAAGTTTGCTATAAGAAACATGAAGAGCTCTTTTCCTTCAGTCATAAAATAGAAATTTTTGGTTTTCATGCCCAGTCTCTGTACATACAGCAATGAAGCCTATTATTATTTTTCATGGGGTTTTTTTCTATTTGTGAACTGAGTGTATTAAATTGCATATTTTTTCTCCTCTTGCAAAGAATATTTTCAAATGAGTTGTGGACAAAATTGGGTATTCAAATTGTGCTGTAGAATGCATACTTTCTAATCTTAATATAGAAACAATTTTGGAAATAATTTCATTATGTCAATGCCCAAGAGTTTTATAATTCAAATTTGCGATAATACTTGAGGATTGCTCAAAAATTTGAAATTGAGTACCTTATTTGGTTTTTCTGCCCTCAAAAATCTTAGAGCATCAGTTTCTTTTTACATGATCCAAATGGCTGAATGACTACTGGATTTGTGTTAGCAAATACAGTTTCTGTAGCCAGTATGTACCAAGTGCTATTCTAACCTCCTCCTGAGCAGAGCTGATGACTAATTCTGTGTGTTAGTAATAATTTCAAAAGTGGATGAATTCTAGTTTAGGTGAGGTTATAGGCAGCAATGCTTTCAGAAGCTTTATTAACAAGAATTAATTTAGAATATGTTTTGTATACCACAGAGATACTTTGTTTTCCTAAGGGGCTGCAGAATTACTGTCATACATGTAGACTTATAAAAATTAAGAAGATTCTGTATATCCTTACATGGTGTGTAGCTTATAATGTTTTTTTTCAAACCCTGATGAAAAAATAAGTCTGTAAAAGCTAATTGTTCTGCTCCTTTTCCTTTTCATCTTGTCTTTGTAAAGTTCTTTCATCTTCCACAGTGTTACTGTAAAAAAATTGAACTGCTAGCTTAGGCTATATACATATTTGCCTTTGAAGTAATAGGTTTGCTCTGTAGGAGTCTTCCCTTAGCTTTGAGCAGCTCTTATTGCTGTTTCTCTCATCCATTATTCTCTTGTGAGGCATCTCATTCTCCTGGCAGAAAATAAGATGTAATGCTCTTAAGATAGGTCAGGTAGGAAGACTTGCCTTTCTCCCTTCCTCTGCAGCTCATGCTATGTCTGTGTCTGTATTCTTCAGCTGGGATCCCCAGGTGTATTTTTATGATCCTGCTTAGGCTCTCACCCTGCATGGGGGTGCCTGTGAATGCACCTCTGTGAAGCTCCTTAATGCCATTGTCCATGGACTGTCACTGGCAGGGTTAGACTCCAGCAGGCTGGCCTTTCTAAAAAGGGCTGAAGTATTTAACTTCATGAAATACTTAATACATGAAATACTGAAATACTCAATACATGGCTCTGAATGATTCCAGTTGGGTGAGGTTGAATTTCCTTTTCTATTCCAGACGGATACTTCACAGGGATTTGAAAGCCAAGAATATATTTTTGAAAGATAATCTTCTTAAAATTGGTGAGATTTCCATACTTTTTGAAGATATATTTTCATGTGATAGAACAGTGCTGCAGACATTTTGTCAATAAGGAGATTTAAAGAAAATCATGTCTGAAATAACATTTTGATTTGTAGTCAAACATTTATTTGACAGTCAGACACAGGAGAGGCAGTGAAATCTCTAGCCTTGAGAATGCTTCAGGCTTGGCTGGACCTGGACCTGAGCAGCCTCGTTTAACTTTGAGCCAGGAGTTTGAATCAGATTGACCTTGTGAAGCCTCTTCAAACCTTCATTTTTCTGTGATATTATGCTTCTGTGGCATTTTTATTTTGAAGAATTACAGAAAATAGTTTTTCCCATTGTTTTTAAAAACTAGCAGGGTTTTCTAGATGTACAGTCACTTAATCATGTCTGACAATAAACAAAACAAATATGTATACACATATGTTTATATTAATAGATAATTGTTTCTACTGATATATTTAGGAGACTTTGGAGTTTCTTGTCTTTTGATGGGTTCATGTGATCTTGCAACTACTTTTACTGGGACACCATACTACATGAGTCCAGAAGTACTGAAGCACCAGGGATATAATACAAAATCTGACATTTGGTGAGTAGTCATAATGCTATGTTAGTTGGATTAGGTGTTTATCTCCACTAAAACTATTTCAGGACATTGGGATCTAATGTTGCAATCTGAAGCCTTGCCTTTTGTGTTAAGAAGCATGCAGCTGGCTTTTATTCAGGGTTATCTGAGACTTTAAAGGAGAGTAAGATTCAGGTCCAGTCTCTGATGTGATACAGGATGATTGCAGACAAAGTTCAGGTTTTCCTAGGGAGGGGGAAATCTCTTTTTTTCTTGAATTGAGATAGATGAATTGAAAGAAGCAACTTTCTGTGAAACTTTAGATGGATGAGCAAAGAGTGACTCTGGCTGAGAGGATAGCAGAAGGACCTTCTTAGGAACTAAATTTAAGAACATTAGCTCTTGTTAAAAGCAAGAAAGTATTTGAAAGTGGAGCTAAAATGAGAGTTACTGTGGTGTTAGAAGAAAAACAAAGAGGCACTCTGTTTTAGAAGAGGCTCAAATGTAGAAAGAATAGTGTTAGTTCCGCGTTTAGATAGCACAAATTCTTGAGTTCAGGACTTCTGAGGTGATGATTAAAGGATCAAGTTTAGGAGCGGAGATCTGTTGAAAGACTTTTGGGAACTTCTAGGTGTGCAGGTACTCTTCCAATTCTTCTAAGATGAAGAAGGATTTTTTTGGAATGGCAAAAATATTTCGCTTGTTTATATGTGCGTCCTAAAGCATCTCATGTTTTAAGATTACAGTTAAAAGTATTGAGTTTTCAAATTTTGTTATAGTAATTTATTTAAGGGGTTTTGTTTCTTTTATGAGGTGTTTCGTTGTTTGGGGTTTTTTTCTGTAGGTATGTGTATCAGAAGATTAATTTTTTTGATAAATATTTCAAACCAGGAAAGTTCCTTCATAAAACATTTGGCCCCTGAAATATAGTTTGATTGCTTGATAATATACTCTAGCTTTATCTCAGTTCTGCCTTTTCAAAATATCCTTGTGGCTGCAGGATATAATTCTAAAAGCAGAGAACAGTCATCTATATCTTCAAGTGGTAGCAACCATTTTTCACAGTTGACATATTCAGTCCACTCAACGGATATGTCAGGAATCTCATCTCGTGGCCTTTGTAGCTGACTGCTATGCATTTGATGTCAGATTCTCTCTTGTTCATTTGTAGCAAATATCAGGTAATACATGTAGTCAATAAAAATATATTGGGAGGAGATTTCAAATAAATTGACAGGGAAGCCTGCCTTTTGTGCTCTTCTACTGTAAGGAATAATTTATTTTATTGCAGTGCAAATAGAAAGTAAAATACATTTTCTATTTGTGGTGGCTAGTGTCAATCCACATAGGTCATCCAAGTTGTACAGAGTAAGCATAATCAGAGTTTGGTCCAATACTTTTATAAATCCTGTGTTAATCACACTTTCAAAATTTACAAAAACACAGAAAGAAAGCTCCCCTTCCCCCCCATCCCAAACTCAGTAGCTACCAGCTTTCTGCTGTACTTTCTGCCTTCTGTGAGGCAGAAAACATTACCAAAAGCACTCACATGAAGATGAAACTGACTTCAGCAGGAGCTTCTTGGCCCTCGCTGTAAGGGCACTAAGGAGGAGGTGTGCCCTGACTCAGTACTTCCCCAGCCCACAAAACCCCTTTTTTGCTGAGCCAGGAAACTCTTCTGATCAGAACTTGTGTTTGATTGATACTCTCATATTTTAATCTTTGAATAATGATTCTATTTGACTTTTTCTCCCCTGTCCCCATTTAACAGGGGCCAAAAGACAAGAGGGCACTGAGCTCACAGGAGAGCCCACCCTGAAGGTTCCAGGTGGGATTAAGTCCTTGGGCCACCGTGCAGGAGGTTCTGATGCTCATGAAGACTCAAAGACTCATAGAATGCTTTGGGTTGGAAGGGCCCTTAAAGATTATCTCATTCCAACTCCCCTGCCATGGGCAGGGACACCTTCCACTGGATGAGATTGCTCAAAGCCCATCCAGCCTGGCCTTGTACTCTCTCTCAGTTTGAAGTTGTTACCCCTTGTCCTATCATTACACAAATTTGTAAAAAATCTCTCTCTGGCTCTCTATCACTTCGTGTGCTGCAAGGTGCTCTGAAGTCTCCCTGGAGCCTTCTCTTACTCAGACTGAACAACCTCAACTCTCTCAGCCTGAATCCATGGAAGGGGTGTTCCAGCCCTCAGATCATCTTTGTGTACCTTCTCTGGACTTACCTCAACAGGCCTGCATCCTTCTCATCTTGAGGGCCCAGAGCTGGATGCAGTAGTCCATGTGAGGCCTCAGAATAGTGGAGTAGAGGGAAGAATCTCCTTCCTCAGCCTGCTGGTCACAATCAGGATGGGATTGGCTTTCTGAGCTCTCAGCACACGTTTCCAAGTCATGTTGAGCTCTTTATCAAGCAACATCCTCCAAATCCTTCTCCTCAGGCTTGCTTTTCCATTCTGCCCAGTCTGTATTTGTGACCTAAGTGCAGGAACTTGCAATTTGCCTTGTACTCCATAAGGCTGGCACAAGCTCGGCCCTCAAGTCTGCCAGGCTCCCTCTGGATGGCAGCCCTTCCTTCCAGCATGTTGACCATACCACGCAGCTGTCAGCAAACTTGCTGAAGATACACTCAGTCCCTCTGTCCATGTTGCTGACAGAGATGTTAAACAGCACAGTTTGTTGACCTCTGAACACTTTCAAAGACTTGCCCAAGTTTTTTATATGTAGATGAATTGACATTCTCTCTTCAGACTTGTCTTCCTGATCTCCAGCAGGATTCAAAAATTTGCACACAAAAATTCAGACTTACAAGTGTTCCCTTGTTAAACATAAGGTAATGTAAAATATCTTCTGGAAAAGACAATTAGTGCTATCTCACCTTGTTTTTGTGATCCTCTCACTGTTCAGTTAAGTTCATTGGAAGGACCTTAAATTCTGCTGCATTACTGATGTGCTCTAAAGAGACACTGTACTTTTCAGGTTCACTGAAATGTTCTGCAAGTGGCTTTTCAAAACTGGCTTGAACATTCACAGTGCAGCAGCATTGTCCTTTATAGCCCAAGGTCATTAGATGGGAAAAAGCTTCATGTTTTACAGTTTTTCCCCATGGAAGTTCTGCAGTTGGTCTCAGAGAAGTGGCAGCATTTATGTTTTTCTTCAGTTGAAATGTCAGGGTTGTAGTTCTTTGTTATTCCATGCTTTATGTCAAATCTAAATTTGCAGGAGGCAAATTAAAGTTGACTCCCATGTTTTCCCCAGCATCCCTGAGCCTGGACTAGCTGGGCCGTGAGAGAAAATCTTTGCAGATGACACAGTCTGTAGTTTCCTCTTTCCAGACAAGAAGTTTCTTCAGGGAGCAGATCTCAGTTGGGCAGTTCACCAGCCCTTCTTCCATTGGTGCTTCCCGCTGTAGCTCCATCAGGTGGAGCAGAGTCAGAGCGGTGCCGGCAGCTGAGCCGAGACAGGGAGAGCCCCAGAGGCCAGGCTGGGCCAGGGCTCAGTCACTGCTGTGTCTGTGTGTGTGTCACTTAGATGTTTGCAAGCTATCTAATATTTATATAGCTACACAAATGAGAGAAATTAATTGCAAATAATTTTAAGACCATTCATTGGTAGCCCAGCCCAGCGTGACGCCAAGGCGCTGCTCTGCCGCTGTCCCAGTGTCCCTTCCTGCCCTCACCCACCCTGTGGTGACACTGGTGCTGTTGGGGCTTGGCCGACACTGCCATGCCTCCAGTGCTGTGGCAGAGACAAAGTGATGTCACAGTCACGTGTAAATCCATTGTACTCCATCTTCCATCCAGTACTGTCAGAGTTTCACAGAGGATTTGTCTGTTGTGTTTGCGTAAATTGGGCTGCCCACACCACAGATCTTGAGGCTTTCATTTTATTGTGCTTGCTTGTCTATGCTATTCTCCCATTTTGTCTTTTTCTTTAATGTTAACATACAAAAAATGGAGCAATGTGAAGGCTGAGGGGATGGGGCTCAAAAAGACAGCACAAGGAGTTCTCATTTAAGGGCTGATGAGTGAGTATTGAAGAAATTAAATTCGGAGACATATTCCTCACAGACTCTGAAGCCAATGAATTCTTAAAACCTTCTGATATGATGAGGCAAAGAGATATAAGCCTTAGCAGTATGTGCATTTACATTATCTGACTTTTAAAGTTGAATTTAAAGCTAACTTGGATCTTATAACCTTTGAAGAATTGTAATGTTTTTACCAAAGATCAGATGTTAAAAGGATGACAATATTTATGTAAGAAACTTAAACCTCAAAAAAAAACTCAGGGTATTTTCTCCTAAGAGGGAGGAGTTGGAGGTCTGTCAGTTGAGATTGGGGAGAACACACTGAAGCCTGTCCAGATGCTCCATTTTATGATGTAATTGAGCATAAGTAGCTTCAACATGAACTTGTCATGCCACAATTTTGCTGAAATTATGTGCTCTTCGGGAACCTTGTCAAACCCATTCGTGAATATAGGGAGTTGTCAAAGCAAATGTGCTGGCTGGCTGGTTTAATGACCATTTTAGAATTTTATAACATTGGCACTTATGCAGGCTAAGATTATAAAAGTCATTAGATGATATGTTTGGATCATGTGTGGATTGCTTATGGGAACTGGGAAGCAATTTCCTCCTGCTCCTCACAAGGTGCTTAGAGCAGAAATGTAGAAACACAACTGAGAAATGCAGTTTTGAGCCAAAAGCTTGCCTGCTATTTCTTTGGGTGTTTGCAGCTCAGCAGCTCTCTTGGGAAGAAATAGCCTTGTTCAGGAACCCAGGGCAGCATTTCTCAGCTTAGGAGATATTTATTTTATTTTGAGGATTTTGATCCTGCAGAAAGAAACTTTTTTCTTTTTCCTTCATTTTTATTTACTTTTTTCCCCAGTTTTTTTCTTTCATGGAACAGATGGGATTTTCCCTGGATAGCCTGTTCACAGCCCTGGCTGCAGCAGAATGCCCTGGGCATTCTTTTAATCTTTCTCCGCCTCAGGTGTAGTCAGAGTACTAAACTAGATGAATAAATCAGCTTCCCTGATGTGTCAAATCCTGTGTTCCTAATGGCTCATTAAACAATTTCTAGCTGCCAGAATCAAGCAGCTTCCAAAACATATTGATTCTGCAAAAAGAAGTTATAGTACAGTCTGTCAGGTTGGGATTTTCCTTCTTTTTTTCTTCTCTCTGGCTGATTTCCATTTTTATTTGATGCTTTCAGATGCTGTGTGCATAGGGTTTTGGTTTTTTTGTTGTTGTTGTTCTTTTTGCTTTAAGTATTTTCTCATGTAGTAATTATCTTGTTTCAGAGTCTGAACATACATCATAAATACAGATTATCATCTGTGTCTTACTGTTTATTGATTTTGTAAGTTTGAAGGCTATTTGACAGCCTTTGACAGTTAAATCTTTAAAAAACCTAGGCAAACATTTATTTACCTCAGTGGTTGTTCTTTAGCTGGTTCTTTGCAAAAATGCTCTGCTAATGGTTTTCACATACTTGCTTGAGAAGTACCAGTGAGTAGAGCCCCCTCAATTTGCACTGGATGAAGAGCCTGGCTTTCAGCTTTAAAATTGTTTGTTCTTTTTCTTTTATTGCCAGATGGACCAAAAGAACTCCTCTTCTTTAACCAAAATGAATTATTGAAACTTTATTCATTATTTGCTTTCAGAGATTTTTATACTGCTTTTCTGAAATCCATTCTCCCATACATATTTCTTATAATTATATTTTATTGTCTTAGTTCTTCTGGAATCACAGATTAAATTATAAACACTACAGTCAAATACAAAGATATTTAAGCTGGTTGCTTCGATGAGCCTTGGCCTGTATCTGGCTCTCACCAGAATTTTTTAGGACCAAGTCAATCAAGGCCAAGTCAGTGAAGTGATCAAGTTGGTCAAGTCAATCATTTGTCAAGTTGGCACCCCTGACTGGAGAAAGACCTGACCATCCTCCAAGGCCTGCAAAACTCAACTCCCCTATTTCAAAAAAATGTTCATCAGACAGAACTCAGCTGAAGTGCAAACTGTTATGAATAGTCATTATATAAAATTATTATGAGAGTGTTTATTTTAAAATGTTCAGCTTGGTGATCTTTTATGATGGCCATTAGGACTGGTGAATAATACATACTATTCCCGCTTGTTTGTTCTTCAAGGTCTCTGGGATGCATTTTGTATGAGATGTGCTGTATGAACCATGCATTTACTGGACAGAATTTTTTGTCTGTTGTGTTAAAAATTGTTGAAGGTGAAACACCTTCTCTTCCTGACAGATATCCAAGCAAACTGAATGCTGTGCTATGCAGGTATGTTATTTTCTTGTTTAGCAGGTTTTTCAGTAAGTTTGGACAATTGATCAATTATTATATTTGGTTTTTAATGTTTCAGCATGTTAAGTAAGGATCCTGCATTGAGACCAGCAGCAGCAGAGATCCTAAAGTCCCCTTATATTGATGAACAATTACAGGTGTGTAAGTAAAAGCAATAGCTGTACACTTTGAGTATGTATTTTGCAGAAGCAAAATGCAGGCAAGGAAAACATGGTGAGAAAAAACAATTTGATAGCTCTTGATGGGAGCATTAATCCAGGGGACTTTCAGAGCTATAGTACAAATATGACTGAGGAAAGAAGCCTTCATCACTTGATATGCTGAATGTGTCCCCTCTTAAATATTATGAGCAATAAGAAAACCAGACATTTATGCATAAAAAAAATGTAGATCACTTGGGCGTGGGTATGTATCTCTCAACTATTCTTATTACTCATAGTTTTAATGAAAAGCAATGCCTTTTGCTCTTTTTGCCCAGGCTTCAGTGCCTCTATTATTTGACTTTCTGAGAAGGTGGGGAAGGAAACTGCTTGGTCAGTTTTTATATTAGGATGGTATTGGGTAATAGCTGAGGATTCTGAATAACTTTAACATCAAGTCTTGATACCCCTTCTGTTTTATTTCCCCACAGAAAATACAGTACAATTTCACAAACATGACTGTGAAAGACAAGGCACTTAACTGTCACAAAGAATCTGCTCCTATTTTTGGTGCTGTGTAAGTATTTCAAACAGTTTTATGGGCAGTAGTATATGAAATTACAGTGTTGCCAAATAATGTCATTAACTTGTGTCTGTCATCACTTATGTCAATCTCATAGTGCTTTATGTTTAGACAAATCTATTCCCTAGAAATACAAGAGCAACCACTCCCGTTAAGGAGATGCATAATTAAAGTTTAGGGAATAAAAAATGATTTGCAGATGAAATATTTTTATTATGTGACTGTGTAAATTGCACGTGCATGTGCATATGTTGATGTTAATTTAGTACCAGCTGGTATGTAAATGACATTTGTTCTGAAATTTTGGAGGTTTAAGCTGTCATTTTAGTTAGGTCATCATCATTTATCGTGCTGCTGTTTCTGTACCTCCTAAAAATTGAATGTGAAAGCTGTGTTTCCAAAATGGCACCAGACTAAAAGCATGCACACTTAAACTAATATTAAGCTAATGCCTCTGTAGGATATTGTTATTTTTGTCTTGTAACTTCAGTGAGAAATCAAGAGTAGTGATGTTTCTTGGCTCTTACAGCAGCAGTGTCTTCACACATGATCTCTCTCTTAGGCATTGAATATATATTGAATTAAATAATTGCATTAAATTACAATGCTGCAATGTTTAAAACAAATTCTAACATGGACATTTTCATTTTGCCTGTGTAAATTAGCTCTGCAGTTTCATGGCAACTCGCCCTCCCCTTTGCTCCCCATCCCTGAACTTTCTGTACAGGTTTTGTTCTGTTGGGAGCTAGCTGAAGTTTGTGATCCTGTGAGGAAGCAATGAACATCCATGTTTCTTGTTTCCTTTAAATAATTGTCAAGATTTTAACAGCTCTCTGATATTTGTTTTGAATTATTAGGTAACAGCAAAATAAGAATTGTTTTAATAAAGATTAAAACAATCCAGAACTGGCAGTGCCTTTGAGGCAATAGGACTTTGACCTCTGTTTTTGTGACCTCTGCTCTTGTACAGGACCCACAGTTTTGCAGCTGTGATCACTTTGCAGATGCTGCCAATTCTGCAGCTTGAAAGCCTCCCTTCAGGAGAGGTGACCATCTTCAGCTTTTCCAAGCAAAGTGTAGTTTGCTGTCAGTGGTAGGAAGAGAGTCAAGTACAGACAGTTGAAATCAGCATAGCAAAACCTTTTATACATCATTTCACACAGTTTAACTGCTGTCACTGTGTCTGTAGGCTCTCATCTCTACAAATTGTGTTTGGAGTTTGGAGTTTCTACTTGTCACTTCTATCCTTAATGTCTCTTGTTGACAGATGAGTCTCTGTTTTTTTGTGAGGACAAAGTTTTCCATTTTGGTACAAATAGGTACCTTTGGTATAAATAGTTCATTGAATTTGTAAGTCTTGATCTAAAATAAAATAATAAATATATATATTCAAGTAAATTCAATTAACTGTGAGAGGATTCCTTCCTTTTCAAATTACATATAGTTAACTACAGAGATGCTCATTGGAGATATACTGTAAATACTTTTGGGGCACTGAAATGTTTCCCAGATATTATGCCATGAATGTATGAATTATATCCATGTTAATATATTGTATTCATATTAATATAATTATATCCTTATTAATTATGAGATATAGTCAGTATTTAATGCTTGTTGAAAAATAGATTATGAAAATCTTCAAGAAACTTTTAATTCTTGCCTTTATCTTGTGAACACTATTTCAGATTCTCTATATGCACCAAAACCATTTTATCTGCTTTGGGGAAGCAGTATTGTTATTTGCAGAATGTCTATCCAGACTTCAAATATCCTCATGCTTCTAGAGGAGACTGATAAAACCACTTTGTATTTTTGTAAAATATGTACTGCATTCTATACCTGATCCATTGTCATTAGCTAGAATGTGTTGAGTCTCATTGCCTTTCAATTGGACACAATTTTCTGACAGAGCTAGCATGTGGAAAGGACATTTATACAAATCCCAGAATCTGTAAGTATACTCTTTCAGAAGCAAGTTTGTGGTTTCTGAGAGGAAGAGCAAGTAGTTCTAACTACAGACATCATGCTCTTATGCTATTGCTAGAAGAAAATAGAAAGTTTGCTTCTGTGCAGAGGTCCAGAGTTTCTATAAATCATGAAACAATGAATGTCAATTTATCTTGAAGTTTTAAAATTCAGGGCATTAATTAGAGAAAAAATCCCAGGAGAAGCCTTACTGTAACTTATCCTCACTTGTACTGCAGTGTGATTATTTTTGCCCAAGTCTTTGAAATATGCAAGAAGTCATAATCTTATAATGACTCTCATAGTACTTATGAGAGCATTAGCTGCCAGTATTGTCGCTGGTAAGTAAAATGCCTAATAATTCCTGCAATCCCAGATCTAAACAGGTAAGCAAAATGAACTAAAAATACATGAAAAATGACAGAGAGCAGAAAAGGGGAGGAGAAAAATATTAAACATAGTGAATTCCCCACATCTGCTGTCTTGCAGCAATACTCTAGTCCCAGTGAGTGTATCAATACTTGCTTATACTTGCTTGCTGTGGTGTTCTCCTCAACCATTACCACTTTGTGTTTACTTTTTTCTCACCAGGAATGCTTTCTGCCATGCGAAGCAAAAAGGTTGAGTCTAGTTTCTTCTAGTAAAGGCCTCTGATGGCTTATTTTAATCTATTCTCACTCAAGTAATAAATTTTAAATATTTAAGTACGTATAAGGCTGTACAGGTTCAGTTTCAACTTGAATGAAAAATTGCTTTTTTCCCCATGAGATTATTTTAATTTAAAATAGAGTTTTTTACAGGAGACAAGAAATATGTCTACATTATTCATACTTGAAGAGTTAGTTCCATTCTTATGAATAATTGAAGTCTTCTTGTCTTTGTCCTTAATCTTTCATATTTCACACTAATATTCTTATCTTTGCACTATTTGAAAAACATAATGAATATTCTCTGCTCATTTATTAAAATCCTGATTTCAAAATGATAGTCCAGAAGGAATGTTGCAATTTGTATGGTTACAAACCTGTCCTCTTAGATTATCAGAAGTGAATATATCTCATAAGAGCATAAACAGTAATTTGAAATGAATACTTGGTATTATAAATACATGGTATAATAGATATATATTGTGTAAGTGAAGGGAGACTGCCAAGGCATTTCAAACTAGGGTGTAATTTTTGTTTTAATTACTGTAGGATGTGAGATAAAAATCTGAGATTAGTATCCTTTTTCTGATAAAGGAATAATATTGCTCTCCTTGGTTGATAAATACAGCTGAAATAAGTAAGTTAATAATTCATGCTCAGCTTTCAGAGATGGTCTGTGGAGACCATTTTACCTGTGAACTCTTATTATTGATTTGGACCAGAAATTCAAGAGGAGAACATTAAATTATATCTGTCATTAAGGACACATAAATATTCTCATTTATTCCAGACAGCTTGTAACAATCAATGTAAAATGTACAAGCCATATTACAGCTCTCATTTAATGACTGCCTTTGTACTTGAATATGCCCAATAATGAAGCCTGACAGGGTAAATATTTCACTGTGCTTCAATATTTATTCTTTTAAGGAGATGAATCTGCCTTTTTCCATCCTCACCTGAAATGAATCACCCTCTTCACAAATCCAAGTTTAAATATTTCAATTTAAAGAGGCATTTGCTTTCCAAACCAAAGTCTATTTAGTCTGCTATAGTTCCAGAGACTTTCTAATTATTCCATTTGAAATGTCACTGTGTTTCAATATCCAGTCAAAATACTGACTATTTACATTTTTATATGAAGATGGGTTTGCTTGCATTCAATTTCAGGCAGAAGAAAGTTCATTTGCAAACTCTGCAGGAACTTTCTGAAGTTCAGAAAATGACACCGCGGGAACGAATGCGGCTGAGGAAGTTAAATGCTGCAGACGAGAGGGCAAAGAAGTTGAAGTAAGTTGTGCCCTAACCATGCAATTCTCCTCACCCAACAGTCTAATGGGAGAGTTAGAATTGTCAAGGTAGAAAGAAAAATAGTATGATTTTGTCACCCAAAATCCTCAAAGGCAGTGAGGATTTTGGGTGACAAAAAAATCACACTGATGTAGGAAGAAACTTAGAACATTAGCCCAAAACTGGTGCTTTGAGTACCATGGTTCTGGTTAAATAGATATGTGAGAGATTTTCAAATGTGTTACAGTAGGAGGCATTTTTTAAATGACTGTTGATGTTAAGAATTGCACAGTCTGAGGAGTCAGACATTTAGCTGCAATCCAGCTTTTGTCAATTGTTTTGGCCTCAGAGGTTTTCCAGAAGCAGTTAATAGCTCAGGGGATAGATAGTCTTGTCAAAGATCAAATGGGGATAATGGACATGTTGTAAAGTCTTTATGATTGATGGATTTTTTCATTAAGTGAGGCATAATAAAATGTTTTGGAAGAGACTAGGTACAGTTTCTGATGGAATATGAGAAACGACTGTTGGGGGTTTTTAAACAAAAACCAGAATATACTGCTTTGATGACACATTTGAAGCAAAGAACTAAGACCTTCATGTCCTTTTGGAAAGTATGCCTGAAGAACACTTGTGTCTGACTGGCATACATAAATTGATTCTCATTTAAAAAAACCCTCTCCTTGAACTGAAACCACTGTATAAAAAGCATTAAATTTGACACCTCTTCTGCATGGTGCTTTCAGTAATATGGAAAGCCAATTCTTGTACTAATATGAAATTTGTAAATAGGAAGTCTGTCTCTTTCGGTTTTTAAAAATTAATGGAAATCAGAAAATAATACTAATTGCAAGATTGTTCTAGTTTGGTTTTCAATTTCATTGCTTTCTTGATTTTGGTGTTTTCTGATGATATTTTAATATTTTTTCTTTCCCCCAAAACAGAAATGAAATATATTTGTTTTGTAATATGAAGGCAACATTAATATTCAGACCTTGTTCTCAGTCATGAATCTTTAAAATGGATCAACATTGAGCTCTAGATCATTATCAGCTGACTCTGGCTGAAAATGTTGGAAACAATAGAAAAATGATACCTTCTCAAACTGGAGATCTGCTTCCAGCAGTGCAAATCCAGAGATGGGTGGGAAGGGAATGTATTAATGGAAGTTGGAAAGACTGGTTAATGTAACACTTGTCCTGAGTGGCTCCACACAGAAACTCACAGTTACCAACTGGGCCCTAGAGGAAGTGTTCATCCCACAAATGTTGCATGCCTGTCTACAGCTGAAAGGTTCCTGCACTACCTGGTGGAATAAAACCAAAAGTATTTGGAAGAACTAGAAAAGACTGGGACTAGTAATTTACTCTTTCTTAATTACGTTATGCAAGTTGTGAAGGTAAAATATAATAGGGTTTGGAAATAAGGTGTGAAATCTCCTTTTGTGTTCATTATAAATCCTGAGTAGATGCCATGAATATTTGGCAACATGAAAATCTCAGTACAGAATTTGTTTTCCCATGTCTGCTTTTAGAAGATCCCTTTGTGCATGCCCTGATATCACATTCTAAATACAAGTGTTCTGTATTTACAGGCAGCTGGCAGAAGAAAAATACCAAGAAAATATCAAAAGAATGCAAGAATTCAGGTCCCGTAATTTTCAGCAGCTAAATGTCAATGTCCTTCATGTAAGTATGGGCTGTTGCTTTGGAGGTCTCATTTTTGTGCACCCAGTGTATTGCACTTTTCTGTTTCCCACATGGTTTCTTTAGCATTAGAGGCACAGGCCTGTTCTGAGACCAATAACTGGGAAGTGCATCAAAATCTGAACTGCTTAGCTGAACCAGTTGATCTGTTGAGGCAAAGTACATTCAATTATTCAGACATGATTCAACCAGCTCTCTATTCATTACACAGTTTTATTTTTTTCAGTTACCTTTTCTTAATTTGCCCTTAAGTCTAAATCTGCTCTCTGAAATGTTTTTACTGACTGTATCACATTGGAGTTCAAAATACATTTCTTTTCAAGACGTTTAGTTGTAATCCTTTAAACATTTTATATTTGGTGTGGCTGAGGGTTCTTTTCATTTGGCTAAGCATATTAGCACTTCAACTGGCTTTCTAGTAAGAATGAAGCCTTGGAATGTCTCCCAGAATAAGTTGTCCTTTGCTTTTAAGCAGTCTGCAACAGAAGATGAGCCAGTTCAATTCTAGCACCACATCCTATTGTAGAAAGAAAAGGGTCAGTTTTGAAATAGTTGGTGAATGCATCACAGAAATAATTTTTTGTGTGCTTGGTATTCTATATTTTCTTTTGTGTATCCTCTGGTTTCTGTCTTCCATTGTGTCTAGAAAAAAATATATATTAAACCTGCTTTTTCTTATGGCTGAGTCACTACTAATAATTTACAAAACTGTTAGGATTTTATTTTAGTATTTGCCTAATGCATGTTCCAGGAATTGTGCAGATCAGGGCAACCATTGTGTTATTATATTGCTGAAAGCTCTATTCCTGTTTCTCCATGCTCTTTCATAATTTGACTTAGGAATCTGCTGAGCAGACTTCAAAACACCTCATTCATTCTCAGCCAGCCACTATGGGCAACTATGTGTCCACAGGCCAGGATGAACCAAGAGGGAATGGGACAACTGAACTTGGCATGTCTGAACTTACAGACCATGGTAAGAATTCAAAATCTGATGTTAAAATGAAAATTCCTGTCAAGAAAGATTTGTCCCTTGTAGTTCATATGCAGTGGGGAAACTGCAGATAAAAAGTGGTCAGATTTGTAAAGTTGTCGAAAAAGGGCAAAGAGGGAAGGAAATTAATCTGGGTGAATGTATGTACAGCAGATGTATAGCAAGGTTACATGGCAGAAGGTCTGTTCTCCCAAAGATTGAGTGACCTGTGAGCAGAAATAGAGGTGAATGTACTCCCTCCAAAGGAGATGCTGAATTGGGAGGAAATAGCTTAAACCTTCCAGATATGAAATGATTTGCATTAGAAAAGCATTTCCTAAAACCCATCTTTCTAGTGAAAAAAGGAGTACAAGAATTCAAAGTGTTTGCACCTTTGGTACACTTTGATGTCCTTTTCTTTATCTTTAACAATGAGAGGAGCAGATGGAAACTCTTTAAAGTCTGCTTATCTATATTGTCCACAAATACTTAGCTATTGTCTAAAGAATATGAAGTACTATAAAACATGTATTTTTCTGTTATAGACAAAAAATAGTCAAGCTTTTTGAAAAGTGTCAGATTCGGGAAATCTTGTGGTCAATGAGGAGAATATTTTTAGGATGACATTTATATGGTTTTGTCTAAAATGTTCTGGAGTAGTGTCTTAGTCATATATTTAAAAATTATTGTGGGAGCACTATTATGGTGAAAGATTTTTAATCAGATTAAAATCTTGCAAATATGCATCAATATACTTTAAAGTATACTTTTAAAGTAGGAAGACTACTTTTCTCTAATAGCACTGCCTTTTAGTGTTGGTTTATGTGCATCTGTGAAAGTATTGGTCATTAAATTAATGGCATCAGAATCAGTTCGCTTTTGTGGTGGAGGTGTTTTGTGGTTTTTTAATAGCAAATGGCTATTTTTTTCTTTCAATGTACCCTCATTTGTGTCTGTGTGGTTGGCTTGCTGTTTCACAGCATGAGGAGAGATGACCTGTGTAGGAGAGAATCCAGCTTCTAGAAATACGTCCTGGGGGGAGGGTGAGGAAACATGCAAAGGGAGGACTGAGAGAAAGCAGCAAACGTGGGTGAGAGCTGGGCTGGGAGAAACACACAAAGACTCCTAAATAGAAACAGAACAACATGCTTGGAAGGAAAGAAACTGATTTTTCTGCCTTTAGAGGTCATTAAGCTTTTAAACTATAATGACAGGAATGAGATGCATTTGTATCTGTGATGCAAAAGCTGGGTCAGCCCATTGTACAAAACTGAATGCATGTTTAATTGCTTGTGCCAGAGTCTGTGATGGAGGAGTGGTGGGTTCATGACAAAAAAGAGTTGTGGATGAGCAAGAGAAATTACATGGTTTCTTTTCTTTGCTTTCTGAATACCTTGTTATTCCTGAAGCTGATGTCAAAGCTTGTTCTTATTCTATTCAGTATTCATGCTCTTCTTTTCTTTAAGCATTTCAGTGCAACCATGCATATCCTACATGCCTAATTATTAAGTTATTAATTGCACCTTTGCACTTGAAAATGTAGAAACTGTTCCAGCTATTGATTTTCCAACAGAATTTTGTTCTTGATCAATGGCTATACAAGAATAAAAGGAAAAAAAACTTACAGGAAGGCTATAAAATGGTTTTAGCAAGTTGTCTTACGTGTTAATTAATCTTGCTGACCCTTATTATGTTAGCAGAAGTTAGCCTGTGAGAACCAGACTAACAAGCTCCCTAGTTAAAACTAATCACTCAGAATATTTGGAAAGGAGAGAAAAGGCAGGAGCAAGTTTTAAATTACCAGGGCAGACCTAAAATATCATCTCAGGAAAAACTAATGACAACAGCTAGGGATAGTAGCCCAGACTCAGCAGGTGTGGGGGAAAGTTCAGAGTATCTGTGGCTCATAGCCTGCAATCCTAAAATTTGCAATATGAGCTAAAGAGAAGAGCAGGGTTTGGAGTATTGAAAGATCAAACTATTAAAGGATTAAGGAAAGAAATAAAGAATAAAACACCTTGCACTGCTCTTTCAGTGAAAATTATCTAAACCATTATTGAATCATAGTTGTATGTCATTGTGGAAGGTGTCAAATACAAAGCTTAAGGTTTAGCTTTAGCGAGTAGTTTTGAATACTGTGGCTTCTTGAGTCAGATTTAGTAGTGGTGGTTACACTTAACTGAAAGTCAGGAAAAACAAGGCAGTGTAGTTAGATAAACAAAACCCAATATGGCAGTTTGGGGTTTTGGACTTCACAGAGGACAAAATTTAGCAATGGCAAAGGCATTTAACTGCTATAGACTTCCCTGGGAAGTTTAAGCTTCTCTCCATGTTTATGTAATCAGCAATGATATTCTGAACATTTTTTTTTCTAACTCTTAACCTTGTGCATTTGAGAGACATTTTAAAGAGTTCTTTGAAATCACCTACAGCTGACCAATTTGTTAGTCTTCAAGCATATTTATTTTCTGGAATATGAAAGATGTCAGTGGACCCTGTGGTTTTGATGTGGAGATGAACTCATTGAACTACAGAAAAGCTTCCTCAATACTGTTTACAACTGGTACAAGTTCTTGAGAATCTTAAAAGAAATTATCAGATTGTTATTCCAAAAGAGAAATGTTGCAGGTAATGTAAATACTGTTTCTTTAGAATTTTTAAGATGAGTTGCCTTATTGCCTTGCAGCTTAACTACTTCTCTCCTCCTGTGCATAAATCTCTATAAACTTCTATACTGTTCATATGTTTTAACACTGGTCACTTTTAGCATAGCTGGACCTTCCATCCTTATTCTTTCCTTAAGATGCTTCCTAGCTCTTACCTCAGAATGTATAATAGATTTTTTTTGTTTTTAATGCCCTAAGTTTTGAACTCGCAACTCTGTTCTTTGAGTTTCCTCATTTTCCATTATTCCACTTCTCAGGGTCACCTAGTGTTTGTTCTTATATTATCCTGGTTCTGGGACTTGGTCTCTCCAGCTGGCATGCATACTAGTACAAAGGATTCTTTTGGTTTGGCTATTAATTTTCTCCACACTGCAGATTTTCAGAGAGGTGGGCAGGGTAGCATTACTTGCAATAGTGAAGATTTAAAAATGCCCTTTAGACTTCTATTTCTCTGAAGGTCCTATAATAAGTTTCTGAACAGTTTTGCATTTTTAACCATACTATCGAAAGTAAGCAAATATTCTCCTTATAAAAGACAGACAATGGAGTGGCTAAGAAGGATCTAGAATAAAATTACTTCTGTGATTACTGTTAGCCATATTAAGTAAATAACTGAAGCATGTTGATTGTATCATTGGAACAGTAAATGTTTTTACTGTATTGTTTCAGCTAGTTAGACCACTAACATGTTCCTTAGAAGACTAAACCTTTGTAAATAGAAGAAAATGAAAAGCATTTTAACTCATTTGCAAGTCTTTTATCTAATAGTTTTAATCTGCATTGAGTTTTTAAATTGGTTAATTTGAAAACAAAACTTAAATTATTTTTTGCTAATGAGATATTTATGGAAAGATAAATGTTTTATAGTTGTGTTTAATATTAGTTGAAAAATGTTGATATCTCTGTCTTATGTGTTCAGGAGTTTATGGAATTGTCATCATACAAATAATTTAATTCTATGGCAGACAGTGCAGTTAAGAATATATTGTACTACTAGGAACAGTTTTGGGTTACTATAGATATCTTTGTGTCTCTTCCATCTTCAGTTTCTCCAAGTACATGTAAGAGACAAAGGAACTGAAATAAGATTTGTATAGAGATAGTACACAGAAACACTGAGCCACCGTCAGTGTTGAATTCAAATATTTGTGTGTTGAACATATATGCATTTATGCATCTGTACACTTCATTTGTTTCCAATAAGCAGTGTAAAATGGAATAGCTAATGAATAGCATTAGGAATAGCTAATGGTTAATAACTGAATTCCCTTTATATTTTGATTTGGATGTTTTGTTTTCTGCTTCATTTCTCCAGTTCATTTTATTGATTAATTATTTCTGAATATTAAAAAGCATATTTTGCAGGTCATGGCAATGATGCAGGAACAAGCAATGCAGAATGTGTCAGGATAAACTTGTGCTTATGTTTCCTGTTCTTGCTGAGGGTTACCTACAAAGTAAATTATTCATCTTCTCTTGTTATCATCAAAAAGAAAAGCCACCTAGCAATAAATTGCTTAACATCACACACCCCCCTGTCTCTTAACCAATTTTTTGTAGAAGCTATCTCCATTTGGACTAGGACAGATAGGTCAATGTGTATTTTTCTGGAGATTATTGCATTTTCAGTGCATGTACTTATCTTTCAATAGTGGGTTTGTGAAAATACTGGTGAGGCAAATTATATTGTAGTGCTGGCAACCAGAGGTCAGTTCATCTAATAGAAAAAAACCCAACAAAGCTGTGAAAAAGAACTCTGCATATTAAACTGCTCATTTCCATTAATGATAATGACTGCAGCTGGAATAAAAGAATTCATTTTATAAAACATAAGCAAAATATTATCAACAAGATAATAGGACCATCCATGACCTACAACCCAGCCTGGCTGCTATGGATGAATGTGGTCAGTGTCTTCCTCTGCCAGTTAGAACAGGGCAGCTCCAGCTGGGCAGGTTCATCACATGTTTAATGTTTGATGATGTGGCCTCCTCCTAAAAAGCTACTGGAGCCATCACAAAAGTAATGCATTGCTTCCTAATATAGCATTATATTCTTCTTCATCTTCTAATGTATCTGATTGAGATTGTCATCCACTTTTCTGATTCAAAAAGAATAGCCAGAGAAGCAGATACCCCCTTTTCCAGAGAACTGGTTATCCACACTTTAGGCTGCAGAAAGTCATCTTTGCCCTAGATTTTCCACTGATAGACCACCTCAGCTTTTTTGTGTGTGCTACTACACACTGGGTTAGGTAATGGCAGATCTCTCACTGCATCATATTAATTATTTGAGTGCAGGTAGTTTCACCTTGGTTGCAATGTCTTCTAATGAAGC